TATCTATCTATCTATCTATCTATCTATCTATCTATCTATCATCTATCTATCATCTATCTACATATCTATCTACATATCTATCTATCATCTATCTATCTATCTATCTATCTATCTATCTATCTATCTATCTATCATCTATCTATCTATCTATCTATCTATCTATCTATCAAATAGAGCTGGAAGGGACCTTGAAGGTCTTCTAGTCCAGCCCCCTGCTCAAGCAGGAGACCCTCTACCATTTCAGATAAGTGTCTCTCTAGTCTCTTCTTAAAAACCTCCAGTGATGGAGCGCCCACAATTTCTAGTGGCAAGCTGTTCCAACTGGTTAATTGTCCTCCCTGTCAGGAAGTTTCTCCTTAGTTCCAGGTTGTTTCTCTCCTTGATTAGTTTCCATCCATTGTTTCTTGTCCTGCCTTCAGGTGTTTTGGAGAATAGCTTGACCCCCTCTTCTTTGGGGCAGCCCCTCAGATACTGGAACACTGCTATCATGTTGCTCCTAGTTTTTCTTTTCGTTAGACTAGCCAGACCCAAATCCTGCTGCCTTTCTTCGTAAATTTTAATCTCCAGCCTTTGATCATCTTCGTTGCTCTTCTCTGAACTTTTTCCAAAGTCTCAACCTCTTTTTTTTTTTAGTATGGTGACCAAACTAGCAGTATTCCAGGTGTGGCCTTACTAGCGTTTTATAAAGCACTTACGAGCACAGTTAGGACTGGAATGTCTGACACTAAGCAGTTAAGTGAGTCCTGCTCGATTGTATGATCTTTTTTTTTTTGCCACAGTCATTAAGTGAATCACGGTGGTCATTAAGCGAATCATTCTGTTGTTAAGCAAATCCCCTTGACTTTGTTGGTAGCCCAAAGGGTGATCATGTGACCTCCGGATGTTGCGACAGTTGCCAAATGCCTGGATTTTTTGGTCATGTGACTGCAGGGACACTTGAATTGTCGTAAGGGCGAGGACCGGTTGTAAATCCCTTTTTTTCTGCACACATCATTTAAAATGGTCACTAAATGAACTGGTCATAAGTTGAAAACTGCATGTGGATACTTTAAAAAAAGGACAAGAGTTCTCGACATAAGAACTGTTCATTAGGTATAACAGGATGGGAAAAGGTGACGTACGAGTTGTTTTTACACTTGGAGCCTTCCTGCGGTCAGGTGATCAAAATGCTTGGCAACTGGCATGTACTTTTGACAGTTGCAGTGATCCCCTTTTTGCAACCTTCTGACAAGCGAAGTCAACAAGGAAAGCCTGATTCACTCAACGACTCTGTTACTAACAACTGCAGTGGTTCGTTTAACAACGGTGGCAAGAAAGGTTGTGGAAAGCTCATTTCACCAATGTCTCACTTAGCAACAAAAATTTGGGGCTCAATTGCGGTTGTAAGTCAAGGTGTCATATTGGAAGCCGTATTAGCACCTGGCGTTTCCACGCTGCCACATTCTTGAGCCTGGAAAAATGGGAGGGGGAAGAATTTCTTGGACCGTATGTGGTTAGACCTAATAGCATTCTTCTTCTAAGTCAAGGTCATGTCATTTCTGCACCTGGGTGAGAGGACGTCTCAAGTTGGGATGGATGGAGATTGAGGCCTGTGATTCAATGATGGGTGCAGGGGGTGGATTTATAATTTTTTACTTATTGCAGGGAAACCCAGAACTTTCAGATTCGGGATTTCCCAGATGTGCCAGTTTACTACTCTAATAAAAGGAACCTTTGAGAAGATGTCTGCCTCAGAGTTATTGATTGGAGTTGAGGTTTCCTGGAACGTTGACACTACCAGTAATGACTGTCTCCCCTCGCCGATAAGCTTGATCTGAGTTTTCCAAGTACATTTTAACCCCTAAAATTCTCAGCTTATCAGTGGTGGGATTCAAATTTTTTAACTACCGGTTCTGTGGGCGTGGCTTGGTGGGCGTGGCCAGGAGGAAGGATACTGCAAAATCCCATTCCCTCCCCACCCCACTAACCTGCTTTCCAGCTCTGTTCTCCTGTGCAGAGCAACCAAAGAAGACCCAGCCAATCAGCTGGGAGTCAGGAGGAGAGAATAGATGGGGCGGGGCCAGTCAGAAGTGGGATTTGCCGGTTCTCTGAACTACTCAAAATTTCCACTTCCGGTTCTCCAGAACCTGCTGAATACCACCTCTGATTCCTTCCCTTTGTTCCTCTCTTCCTTCCCTCTTCTTTCCTCTCCTTCTTCCCCTTTTGTTCCTCTCTTCCTTCCCCTTCTGTTCCTCTCTTCCTTCTCCTTTCGTTCCTGTCTTCCTTCCAGTGGTGGGATTCCAATTTTTTTACTACCAGTTCTGTGGGTGTGGCTTGGTGGGCGTGGTGGGAGAAGGTTACTGCAAAATCCCCACTTCCTCCCCACCCCACCGACCTGCTTTCCAGTTCCATTCTCCTGTGCAGGGCAACCAAAGAAGACCCAGACGATCAACTGGGACTCAATGGAAGGCAGAGAAGAGATGGGGTTGGTGGGGCCAGTCAGAGGTGGCATCTGGTTTTCCGAACTATTCAAAATTTCCACTACCGGTTCTCCACAACCGGTCAGAACCAGCTGAATACCACCTCTGGAACTCACCTGTCTGTATAAAGAATAGCATGGAAGCTTTCCAGAGGATATTTTCTGGAATATTCTGGAAAGGCTGGTTGTTGGGCCTGGGGGCGGAAGCGGGGAGGAGGGGGCACTGCTTTGCAAGTGACTTGGGAAATTACATCATGCTGAGCCTATGAGCCGTAGGTTGTGCTCGGCTGATGGCACCTTGCTTTGCGTGGGGGTGTCTCAGAAATGTGCAAAAAAAAAACCCCCACGTTTCTTTGCAGGTCTAAAAACAGACGAAAAATCAACAGCTTTTTCGACCTAATCTACTGTCAGCGTTCCAACTAACCAGCTCCAACCCCAAGAAAGTTCTGCCAGCAGGCCGCCTGGGGAACCCAGAGCGGGATGGAGCCCATCAAATGGCTCGTGTGATCTGTTGTTGTCAGGGCAGGGGGTGGGAGTTGGGGAGGTAATTTATTTATTTATGTATTTTTTTTTCAGGTTTTGTTCTATTGTATTTTATTAATTTATTTGATTCTTTTTTATTAGTTTTTTTTTTAAATTTTAAATATGGTTTTACATTCTGTAAGCTGCTTCGAGTCGCCAGGGGCGAATAGGCGGCAATATAAATTAAATAAATAAACGAACTCCGAGACAAGCATTTCCTCAAAGTTCCACTTTATTAGAGTTGTCATATTGGCACATCCGGGAAAACCCCAATCGGAGAGTTCTGGATTTTCCCTTCCCAAAACAGAAATCAAAGATCCATCCCCTGCGTCTGTCAATCCATCACATGGTCCAATCAAATCATCCCAACTGGAGACATCCCTCCAGTCACCCCCCTTCAAGTGCAGGGCAGCATGCCCTTGACTCTCTGAGAAAGAATGTTGTTGTGTCTAATCTTCTACCTCTCTGTGAAATCCTCCCCCACCCCAGGGGTGGGATCCTAACATTTCGGTCCGGTTCTATAGAACTGGTAGCTCCAAAGAGCAGCAGACATTTAACTGGTTCGTGGGACGAGGTTTTGGTCTGCTGTTTGGCCCTCCCGCCCAGGCTCTATAAATTAAGTAAATAAACAGAGAACTTGCAATGAATACCAGACACAAGGAGAGAGAAAATGCCCTCTAATGCCTGCCTTTATATAGACACCTGTTAAAGAGGTAAATACATCTGTGGACCCACTCTTAGTCTTAAAAGGGCAATACCCATGCTGATTCATTCCTTTAGTGGCCCCCGTTTTCCTCCTCAGCTGCTTTGCGCAGCACAGCTGAGTGCCAGTTGTCAGCTGGAGAAGGTAAATGCTTGCCGGAGCTGATAGTGCGCATGTTCGTGCGGTGCACGTTTGACATGCATGTGCGCGCTCCCCCAAACCAGTTGTTATGCCGGTCGGATCCCACCCCTACCCCCTCCCAAATTCCCAGGCACTGAATGTGGCAGCCTCGAAGCTTCCAAGTAAAAAATGGCATCCAAGGCTGACATCTACATTTGGATGCTTGGCGTGTACTTATGTCAGCTGAGGTGTCCCAGGGTCACATGATCCCCTTTCGCGACCTTCTTGACAAACTGATCTATGTAAGTTAATTGTCCTCTTTCCATCCTAGACCGGTTGGATGATGTGGAACTGGCTGGTGTCTGCTCTCGCGGTGGGAGCCTCCGTGGTCCTGTACGACGGCTCCCCCCTGGTTCCTTCGCCCAATGTCTTGTGGGACTTGGTGGATCGATTAGGGTACGTAAACCATCAGCCCCGCCTTGGCCAAGCGTCTTATGATGGACCCTGGTGTGTTTTCAAAGGGTTTGGTCTCTCAAGGTATTGATAAACAAAGTTGATGAGGCTTCAGAAGATGACAAGGAACTTGTAAGAGTGTTTGCAGTGTGACTACTATTATGAGAAAACCCAGGAGCCATACACAGCACACAGAGATTTAGACATTTAACAGTGTTTTATATACAAGACATATACAGAAATATATGTGGTAGGCAAAATACCTGACAAGCACTCAATCTTAACTCTACACAGAGAACTTGCAATGAATACCAGACACAAGGAGAGAGAAAATTCTCTCTAATGGCTGCCTTTATATAGACACCTGTTAAAGAGGTAAATACATCTGTGGACCCACTCTTAGTCTTTAAAAGGGCAATACCCATGCTGATTCATCTTCATTGCATCAGCCTTACATTGCATCAGCTTTACATCTAGTCAGCTCTTAAATCCCAATACCTTAACCTCCTATTGAGAAAGTCCTCCTAGATAATGAGAAGATCTCTTGCTCAGCTGGAGTTTTGAGAAGTAGCTTTGAGAAGCAGAATCAGGCTTGCCCTTTGAGGGAGGCGAACCTTCCTTGATTTGTTGCAAATTTTTTTACATGGTGGTCACGTGTCCTGCTTCAGATCTACCCCTTGTATAGGAAACTACTTTTTGCCAAGAGGAATTCTTTCTCCGTGTAGCTTATAGATGTTTGGAAAAGGGTTAACTGGGATCTTGGGAGGACCTTGGTGGGACATCTTGATGAGAGAAAACCAGGCTGTGTGTGTGTGTATAAGCTTTTCAAACTTTTTTTTAAAAGTTTGTGTTCCCCTCTGCAAATCCTTCACTTGGCAGTAGAAATTAATTTCCTGAGATTCCTTGAAGAAACTCATGGCTGAGATTAGCAACCATAAACAAGGATTGTTTTTCTCTGGCCACAGGATTACCATCCTTGGGACGGGTGCCAAGTGGTTGGCAGTGCTGGAAGAGAAGAATCTGAAGCCATGTAAGTATTAAGGCACCTGTTGGGGTTTTGCATCACACAAAACTGTGGTTTATTCAACCATGGTTTGGCTTAATTCACACGTGGTCCATAACCACCCAGATAACCACCATGTTATGGCCAAAGTGACTGAACCTGGTCACCCTTTTCTTGTTTCCCTTCAATTTTGGAGCCTAGTTCCCTCCTGCCCATCTCTCATTCCATCCCATAATATTTCCAAGGAGTCGCTACCTTATCGCAAGCCAGGATCTTAGCTGCATGAATAGAAAACCAATCAGCAAGTCTCAAGATAATGAGACGTGCACTTAAACATGAGCTCTGGCTTTGGCATGGCTTGAAGCTGGACTTGACATGGTGGAATGTCATGGCGACGTTCTCACCATCTTGTAAGCCATGGATTGAAACATTTGTGGGCCCCTTGAAGAGGTGGTGAGACGTTTTGAGTATAGTGGGCACCATGTGAGCTTCTTTTGAAATGTTTTGGGCATGAGACCTCTTGTGTTCCTTTAGTCTACTGGCCTGAGTTTAGAATTTCCCCATGGTGGTTGATTCTACTTGGCCTGGTTGAATCTGGGAGTCCATCAAAAGTTGTTGACTTCAACGCTTGGAAGCCCCAGCTGTGATCAGGCCAGATCAGCCTCACCACAACTGGTTCTATGGTGTTGTGGTCTGCTGACGACTAGCGGAGCTGGCAGCAGATAGTGAGGAGGTTGGGGAGGAACATGGAGGCTGAGGAAGGCTCGGAGTAGGGCTCTGCTTCAGAGGCAGAGATGGGGCCAGGGCAGGCTGGCAGTCCTCAGCTGCCTTTGGGCTCGGACAGCATTGAGGCGGGGGAGCTTCTGGAGCCGGTTCCTAGCCTGCGCATGCACAGAGCTGCCAAAAAGAAAAGAACAATTACGAACTCAGGGTCGACGTGGGAGTAAGGCCACAGGTAGACAGTGAATGGCCCCTCCCATAGGGATTAAAAGAGGAACAAAAGGGGAGGGGGCTTTTGCAGGAAACCGTTCACTGCAGCGGTGTGAAGATCTGCCTGTGCATCTCAGAGTCTCTGTGCCGAGTCCTTCCTTGTCAGCACTGTGTTTGGAAATAGTTACTTGGCAGCTCTCCAGGCTAGATAAGGTCTGTGCTCCTAATTGCACCCTTGAAAGACTATTTGCCAGGCCTTTGGCTGAAGGTGAATGCAAGAAATTCACCTTCGTTTAATAAAAGGGGTTTTGCCCGGAGAAAGAGTCTGCTTAGTGCTTTTGGGGGAAGCCTCGACCAGAACAGATAGTGTGCTGCTCTCCAAGCCTCACAACACTGTTGTAATGGAGGGAGGGAGGATGAACCTGGATTTACGCCGTTGGTGTTTTCTCCTCAAGGTGAAACCCACAATCTTCAAACCCTCCACACCATCTTGTCCACCGGGTCGCCTCTCAAGCCTCAAAGTTATGAGTATGTCTACAAGCACATCAAGAGCAGTGTCCTCCTGGGCTCCATTTCAGGTACCAGAAAGCCACGTGCGAGACTTGTGCAGGTACAAGCAGGGTGGATTTGATTTAAATCAAGTCAGTTTAAATCGCGATTTAAATCACTAGTAAAAAAGGCTTGATTTAAATCCACTTGATTTAAATTGTAATTTTTAAAGAGCCACTGTGATGACAGCCTTTCATCAAAACAAGCACAGCCACAGAAAAAAGGTGAAGCCCCTTTTATCCCTTCACTTTGCTTCCAAGCTCCGAACATCCTTGACGGAAGACAAAAAACTCCCACACAAACAGTTACAAGAAGGAAAAAAGCAACACAACCAGGCAAGATAAGGGCTGGAGGACGTCCACAGATAACAGAACACACACTGGGAAGGACGCCAAACTCAGAGAGGAACCATAAACTAGAGATATTTCCAAGCTTTGTTTCCAGCACTCGCCCGTACGCATGTCCGTCCTCTTATTCAGTTGTCACAGCTGCAGCCCATGAAGAGGATCAAGGCCCTCTCCTCCCCAGTAGACCATGTCTCTCCCTTATCCTCTCCTCCCTGCGTGCCCTAGGATGGAGAGGGGATGGGCCCAGGTCCTCCTCTGACTGCTCAGCCGGCCTCTGCCCTTCCCCAGCCTCCTCCACAACCTCCGGAGCCACACTTCCACTCCCTGTCGGCTGTTTCTCCTCTCCCTCAGAGTCAGTCTCCACCAGGGGCAGGACAGCCACTGTCATCTCTCTCTCCTGCATCAGCTCCTCCTCTGACCCGCTGTTGACTCAGCGACAGTCCCATTGCTGGTAATGCGCCAGGTATACAAGGTGAGGGACGTGGTGGGCAGCAGGTGAGTGGATGCCCACTAACAGGCGCTGCCATGATGGATCTGAAATGACAGGTGCCCTTTAATATTACATTTATACGTTCCTTAGAAGGCCTCCCTTTCATTTTTACTGCTTGCTTTTCCTCCTCACGCTTAGAGCCTTGTGGCACAGATGCATTTGCAGTGTACACAGTCATGCAGTTTGCAGTGTACACAGATTTGCAAAACAACGGGATAAAGGAATATTCCTGAACGGTGTTTTATGATTTATCCCATGGTTACTGTGAAATTGCGTGAATGCGTCCATGCAGGGCATGTTATCTCAGCTTGCAGAGCTTGGGTTCATGGAATGAGTTTAACCCCTCCCAAAAAATGTTAATGTTGCAGAATATGCAGCCTCGTGCTGCATAACTAAGCTCCGTTTCATGCTGAATGAACTAAATTATGAATGTATCTTAAATAGAAAACTAAAAAATAGATTATTTTTTACTCCATAAGCATTTTAATAAAATACATTTGATAAAAAAAGTCCTCACAGTCTAATTTTTTTTCTAATTATACACAAAATTTGCTTATTGGACGTAGGAATCTTGATCTTTTGGTGAACTGTCCTGATAAAATTTTCTCTCTCTCTCTCCCTCTCTCCCTCTCTCTCTCTCTCTCCCTCTTTCTCTCTCCATCCCTCTCTTTCTCTTTCTCCCTCTTTTTCTTTATTTTTCTCTCTCTCTTTCTCTCTCTGGCCCCTCTCATTTTAGGAGGCACCGATATAGTTTCGTGTTTTATGGGTCATAATGTCACCATCCCAGTTTACAAAGGCGAGATCCAGGCACGGAATCTTGCAATGGCGGTAGAAGCATGGAATGAGCAAGGTAGGTCCGTTAGATCCAACTCACCTTCCTGGACTTCTCTCGGATGGTTTCTTCCAAATCAGAGCAGAGAAAAGTGGAACAAATTATTTGGAACATCTGAAGGTCATTTCTCAAACTGGGAATTTTCTCCTGTCCTGATGGAGAAGGTTTGTCCACAGGAGCGGGACCTGTTTGGTGGCCTTCACTTCTTCTCTTCCTCCGTTTTCTTGCAGACGTTTCGTGACCCAGGTAGGCGACATCATCAGTGCTAGAAGGGAGTGGGATTTGCTCTCTGCTTTATACCCCAGTACAATACGCCAATCAAGCAACTACCAACTCGGTCAACCAAAGCCTAATCAAGTGACCACCAAGAAGAAAACAACAGTCAGGACAAGCTAGTTGTCTATATATAAATAGAGAGCAAACCTTTCTAGCACTGATGATGTTATGTACTTGGGTCATGAAACATCTGCAAGAAAAACACCAAACTCAGGATCCAACACTCCTCCTCCTCCTCCTCCTCCTCCTCCTCCTCCTCCTCCT